TCGTTGTACGCTCCGGCCTTCTTCAAATAATGTAAATAATGTACATAATATCTCATCTCAGAAATATAGACAGACTCTGAAGCTTATTGCTATATTGTTAGCAAATTTGAATTCATTCAACGGACTATATTTTCTGTCTTCAAAAAGGTCATGTATTGTCAATCTACTATCCCTTATTTCTTGCATTTGAACACAACTGTAGGCAACATCGACTAGTCCACTGTAAAGTAGACAGTGTCAGGAATTTTTTTTTATTTCGTTTGCAGGAGCATATCAACAGCATATGTCATACAATGGGATAAACTATGAAAATCTTAATTTCGTGGATTGATTAGAGAATATTTATTTCTTCGCAGAACGCAGCTTGTATTTTCTTAAATATCTTGATAAAAAATATCCCAAACAGACCTATTTATTGACTACACTATTCCGGATTTTATTACACAACCCAATTTTTTACAATGTAATTATCATTAACCAACCAACTTTGGTAAAATTTTTCAGTATATGCTTACATTTATATGAATATGCTGTGGTGATTGTCTATTTTTTATTAAAATATTTACAATGATTTATTTGGTGGTGCAGTCAAAGTGTAAATAAATATAAATTCATAGTGTAAATAAATTTATTATTTGAATTTTTGAATATATATTTAATTTCTAATTTTGTATATATAAATATTGCTATGGATCTTAAGAAAGGTATAACCTTAAAGAGAAACAAGATGTTGTAAAGTGATTTATAATGAGAATACAATGTTAGAAATTGTTAAACAATGAAAACAGAATATGAAAACAAAATAAGAATAAGAAATTTCTCGCGACTAATGCAGGGCTAGATTTGATAGACCTGGTGGTTGGCTTAACGATCGCGCCCTCTATGGAAATAATCAATACGACACAGTTTGGGTAGGGTGTAGTCATATTTTAAGTTAGTATTGTTGACAGTAAAATTATAGCGCGTTGATGATGGTCAAGATGAATGCAGAGAATTATTATAAGTATATTGAACAATACAATTCTTCTATGATCTTGGACAAAGCGCTACAGGTCACAAAGGTGAGCTAAAAAGCATATTTCTGCATGACAATGTTCCTTCATATTCTACAAATTCGCTAATGCCTATCTTGTTAAAAAGGTTTCAAATGAATCCAATTCATAAAATGGCTTCAAAACTCTCTATATATTAATACAATAGAAAACGTGTAGCCCATCATTAAAAGATATGTATATGACAATGGAAAACAATATTCGATTATAAGGATTGTGTGAAGCAGTAAAAGCTACCGCAAGTAATGTTAAATTCGAAAATTAAATGCAAGACACCAAATGCAATATTCGTGTAATAAAAGATGATTTGATGATATGTAAAGACCATATAAATTCATATTGAACAAATAACTTATAATCATAATTTTCCTTAATAAAATAAAAACATTCAATACCTCTAAATCTGTGACGGAGAGAGAGTCTGAAAAACACACACAAACACACACACGTATATTTTATTTTATCTTTTTTAGTGAAATTGGAGAAGGTTTGAATAGCGAAATTAAATCAGAGCATTTTAGTTTACTGATGGGAAATCTGATCTAGGGCACGAGCTGTACCCATTGGAACTGGGTCATTAGAAGACAATAGAAATGGTCGAAATAATTTTTCTCTGTCCGGAATCCAGTGTATGCGTTTTTACGTTAAATACTTTTCTTTTCTGTAACCCGTTGCTTTTCTATACTATTCTTTTCTGCTATATAAAAGACATTGACAATTCAATCATTGAATAGTTGTTTGTCCGGCTTTCTGTAGATTTTTTTTTTTTTTTGCTGCATTCTAAATTTCTTAGCACAGACTCTCCAGCCGTGTCTACATCCTACATCTTCAGTCGACCGTGAATGGATGAACATCACTTCTGCTTTCTGGATCAAGCCAAACACAACGTGGGCAGGAAGCATGATTAAACTAGTGGACCGGTCGAATAATCTACGGATGCTCAGGGGACCTACGGCCCCTCCCTTAAGTACGGTTAGGACCGAGTAGGCACCTCAACCCATAGAGTAAGTCCTCGGAGGTTGAGGGGCTGGGGTGAAAGTGTTAGAAATCTAGGTACTTCCAAATTTGAAAATATCGGTTTTAAGGAGTACTCATCAATCAAGAAATAAAAATAATGAGATTTGAAAATATTCTAAAGAACATTTAAACATTAATAGTTACGAAAGAAGGCATTGGGGTAGACAGCTATTTACGTCATTTAACATTTCTCCAGAATGTGTTGACAATGATCCAATAACATCCACGAATACAGAGACCTGGCATGTGTATAGCGATAGATGCATAAGTGGAGATACTTACTTAAATTCAAATCATTAACCCTCAAATTCAAAATATACGAGCTTTGCAATTTACATTTACCCGAAACGATAAATATTTATTGTTACATCTCCAACAATGTGAAGTAATCAATAACGAACCTCATAAAAATCTACTGGCACAAACTATACACAGATATTGTGTTTATTGTTTAAAATTATCAGTCATGTGATCGCTTGCAATCTTGCCAAATGTACAGCCCGTTAAGTAAGCATTTTACGCTTATTAAAAATATAAGTTTTGTTAAGTGAAAAGTGTTAAATGGCGCTTGTCTTTTATTTTGAACGAGAAGACATAGAAACATTTTAAAAATATATTTAAAGAAGTTAAAGCATATGTGTGTGAGAGAAAATATAAGCATATGCATAAAAATCTCTACCTATTGTTTAAAATTTGCTACATTTATTGTGGAAGTATGCTCAGTATCAAAGATAGAGAGTTTAGTGTGGATATAGGAATTAACAATGTGTGGTGACTGTCAGTTTCACGTTTCAAGCGGTCTTCAGCTTATGCAGTATTGGCTTTTGTATCCACATAACCAAAACCACTAAAAACTGTAAGCTTTTTCATTTATGATTAGTAAATATAGTTTTTATTTAATAATAATATCACTTGACCGCTACAAATTAATATATAATTCTAAAAGATTTAAAAGTTTATAAATTATTCTAATTAAAATATTTAAAAATGAAACAATTCTTGTAAAAATGCATTGCTCATTGAAAAAAAATCTTAAAGCATACTATATGTCCATACTATATCTTATTCTTAAAAGCAATTAAAAACATTTCTAATTAAATAATGTCTAGTTTAATTGCATTTTTTATTTTACGATTTAGAGCAGATTTCATCAAGATTTTCTAACAAAGAAACATTTAAAAAATAATTAATATGTGAATAAGTCGTGAAAGTGTCATTAAAATCCGACAAAGATCTGATTTTTGAAAGAATTCCCATATCAATGTGTTTTTCATCGCAAGAAGACACGCTCAGATTTCACGTAATAATTAATGACACCAGGCTGGCGCCAGAACGTTCTAAACAGGATTAAAAAAAAATAATTTTTACATCTAAAAATCCTTTGGTTCTCCTCTTAAAGATTTTGACGATAAAACTTTGTTTTGGGCATTTTTTCATCGTGAATGTTCATTTTTTAGCGAATCTTTGGAGGTACTTATGTATTTTAAATATATATATATATATATATATATATATATATATATATATATATATATATATATATATATATATATATAGAGACTTTCGCAAAAAGCGAATTGAGTCACTGTCGGTCACTAGGCATGTTTCTAAAAATAAAATACGCTAAAATCCACCCTTAAGGGTTAGAATCTCCTACTGACACCAATTCAGTCGGGTTTCGATCCTAGCTAGTGTCAACCGGATGTCTAGCCACACTGACGCGAAACAGTCTGTGGATGACGTTATATATATATATATATATATATATATATATATATATATATATATATATATATATATATATATATATACAAACATATACATAATGTATATTTGAGGAGAAACACTTCTTTTAAACATGTTTGATTGTATATGACAGACATGGAAAATTTTATTAATTTTTTATTTAGTTTTTCCAACATTCTTACATTTTTCCGTTTCGTGGAAATAAGAGAGTACAGAAATTTTCCACATTGTCTGTCATATCCAACGAAACACACACACACACATGAGCACGCACAAACACGCACACACACGCACGCACGCACACACACACATAAATATGTGTGTGTGTATTTATGTATGCATAGAACCATAGACGTGTTTTTATAAAACTATGTTTGCTGACTATTGTGTTCAAAGTTGTGTTTTTATCTTTAATTTTCTTGTGTGATCTTCAACCTTTCGATATAAGAAATTTATAGTAAAAAATTCTTTGAATGCACAAAATCTCATACAACTAAAATGCGTGAGAATGTGAAACTCAATGAAAGTGGGGGAAATCAATATTTCAATATTTTCCCCCTATATTATATGGGCGTAACTGCTTAATCTGGACAGCCTTTATTGGTTAAACGCGTAGGCGGAGCTTAACAGCATTTTATTATTTTTTTTTTTTTAATACGCATAAGTGCCCCCGGAGGATGGGAGATTAAAAAAATTATTCATAAATAGTGTCTCCTCCAATCACATAACCCTGCTTGTATTTGTTTGTAGTGACACTTGGACGCGCCCCTATGAAGATAGTCATAGAATAAAAGAATACATAGAAATAAAATAAAACCCCGAGTCTACATGTGATTTCAAAATAGAAATAGAAAAGAAACAATTGAGATAAATGGCATTATTATTTTAAATGTCTCCTTGGATTTACCAGCATTTTCCTTTGTATTTTTATATTTCAGAAGTGTTCTTAATATATATATTTATCTTTCATGCGAATATTGAACAATTTTTTATAATTACTATTTTTATGATAATTGTCATTTTGTAAAAAGAAAAAAAATCAGCAACTAGAAAGCATTTGCTGTTTCATCCACTTATTTTTCCTTCTCCCCTTTCGACATTGATTTTGCCTCTTATGTATATGTGGGCAGATTGCCTTGATTGTTGCTTCTCATCCACACAGTCATCAAAAGTGACGGGCCGACGATGCCCAAGTCATTTTTAGTTAAAAGTAGTGTCAAAAAGTTGTTGGGTCCAACTCACGCTAACTCTGCCTGGAACACTAACAAAGAAATCGACAAAGAGATAGAACCAGTGACGAGAGAAGAGGACATGGACTATTCTACAGACGATGAGACTAAGCAAAGAAATTCCGAAAACAGAAGCGCTTTCCGATTTGTTAATCCAAACGCAAACGCCAACGGTAAGATTCTGAGAAAGTGATTTACTTTCAGTTGCAATATGAAAAGATATGAATATACTTGATACTTGAAAAATACTTGAGAAACATGCATCCATCCATCCATCCATCTATCCATCCATACATACATACATACATCTATCCATACATTACTTACAAATTAGAACGGAATTTCAGTTTTTTTATTTGAAATTTCTGAAGCAGTTTAAAAAGTTGAGTTGATTTTTTTAAAACTGAAGGCTTTTTTTCCATATGTGCAAATAACACATCAAGTATTGCTATGTAGATTACACTTGACTAAACTTTTAACTTTTTGTGCTCGTTTTTTGCGAATATGTGCATGTTTCAGAAATTATTTCACACAAAAAGCCGATTATTTTTGTACTTGTGTACATTATACGAGAAATTAAATTGACCCAAACATTTCCTTAAAATTAACTGACCCAAACATTTCCTCAAATCTTATCAAATGGCAAAATGTCGAATTTAATTTTTTTCGGCAGAGTGTGTTGAAGGCCGGCTTCGTGATAGAAATGATAACTTTTTGGCAACCCTTCATTATATTTTAATAAAGATAATTACAAAATGAGCAAGGTACTTTTTCTATGCTCAAAATTGAACTCCCTTGAGACTGCGCAAAAATATTTTTTTTCGAAATATTATTTATTTATTTGTTTATTTTCTAAACTAAGCCTTTTTCTTTTCTAATTTAGTTAAACGTTACTTTTAAATTTTTAAAAGGAAAAAAACGCGTTTTCTCAGAATTTTCATGGGTTTATTTATTTTTGAGTCCTTTATTTATTCGGAGCATTTCGGCGAAATCCAAAAAACAAATTTCATAAAATTAGCTTTACAAATATATAAAATTACCTTGGTTAAAAATATTTACATGTTTAACAAAAAAAAAAGTGATTATATGAGTGACTGACAATTTTTTGTCCTACATTTTTTCACTTTTTCTTTTTGTAAAGAAATAACTTTCAATTTTATTTTGAAGGAGAGAATTATTTTAATTTTTATATTTTCTCGACCTGGAATAGCATTTCATTATTCTTGTTAATACCGTTTTACGATTTTTATTAATATTCCATGCTGTCTGTTTAATCTAGTACTTAAAAATAATCCTAATTTGGCTTTATAAAGCATAAATTATAGAAACGAAATGTCTGCTTTATGATTTTGAATAAGTGAATATTTCTTTATTCTTGTCACTGAGCAATGCACACTGTAATTGGACAACAGTCTTTAAGTGTAGCAACACAAAACAATAACATCTAATGAATTATTCTATAAACAATAAACATTTATATAAACATTAAAATACGTTGAAAATTTTCAGTTTTCATTTTACGCAGGGCCCAAGGGTAAATGCTGTCTCTTAAGAACTTTGTCCTATAACTAAAATTTCGTCCGGTGTAGGGGGTACAATTCAAACAAGTGGTACAAGCGCACTGCCTTTCATTGTGTTTTTTTTTTCTGCTCTATTACGACAATGATAATTAATTAGAAATGCCCTCCATGGAGGGTAGAGAGCAGCTGTTTATTTTCTGGTCAATATCTATAATCATTTTGAGGGCTCTTTTGTCCGCTGCTGAGCAGCTGGAATGCCATGTAGTGAGACAAGTACAGCTGCACACTTTCAATAGTGTAGCGATATAAAGTCATTATTTTCTACCCCTTCCACACAAGGGGCATGTGCTGTGGCATTTCTCCGGAAGCCCACCAACAATTCCTTTGTCTTGAAGATGTTTAAAGGAAGGTTATTCTCTAGAAATCCAAGGTTTACATTTCAAAAATAACAAGTGACATTCAACAATAAGATGAAATTCCATTCGAACAATAACAAAATAAAAATAAGTCTAGAAAATAAAATCAACAAATATTTTGAAGTGATCTTAAAATCTTCAAAGTCTATTACTGAATCAAATTACCATATCCAATATCAATGTTAACCCAAAACTGTTTAGCCTTTTATTAAATTTTTCACTTGTTATTTAAACGAAAAAAATTAATAAGGATTGTAGACAGAACTAAAATTATTCCTTGCTCAACTATGAAGTATAGAAAAAATAAAAAAGAGAAAAATAAAAATTATTCTAAATTCTGACATAAGGTACAATTTATTTCTTATTAATCAAAAAACGACTAAATATAGGACAATTTGTTTTTATTATTACTAAATAGGCTAGTATTTTGATAATATCATGAATTTAATTAAACGAATTTAATTTTAATAGTTTCAACTTTATTACTTTTCGACTGAAAATCAAATATATTGTTTTATTTGTTTATATATGCACTAAGTTTGGTAGGTTTGATAGGTTCACTTCAGAAAAAAATATATAATTATATTTGTGTGTGTGTGTGTGCGATCAATATTTTATTAACAAAAAGAATTGTGGATGATTTTTGTGAATGTTGTGATTTTTATTGACATCACACTTAATCAAATATCGTTTATTTCTTTATAAATGTTTCCTTTATTTTATAACGTTCAAAATTAAGTTTTTTGTTGAATGTGTTTTTTTGCATATATATATATATATATATATATATATATATATATATATATATATATATATGTATGTATGCGTGTGTGTGTGTATCTATCTATATATATATATATATACACACACACACACACACATATATATACACATATATATATATATATATATATATATATATATATATATATATATATATATATATATATATATATATATATATATATATATATATATGTATAATGGGTGTATTTATGCAGCAATCTTTCATTTATACAAATTTGTTTTATGACTAATGAACTTTCTCTTAGATTATTCTTTACACACACACACACACACACATATATATATATATATATATATATATATATATATATATAGATACCTAGATAATAATATTAGTTATTTATATTTATATGTTATTTATATTTATATGTTATTTATATTTATATGTTATTTATATTTATATATATATATATATATATATATATATATATATATATATATATATATATATATATATATATATATATATATGGTAAAAGTTTGTCACGTAATTGTTTGATGTCACCATCAGCATCCTGACTCCAGAGTTTCGTAGGCGGATCTGTCAGTGGGTATCAACAATTTATATGCATATATATATATATATATATATATATATATATATATATATATATGTGTGTGTGTGTGTGTGTGTGTGTGTGTGTGTGTGTGTGTGTGTGTGTGTGTGTGTGTGTGTGTAAAGATCGCATTTAAATGATTTTTCATTGACTATGAAAGATATTTGACTCAGTAGATGATTTAGCAGGTTTGAAAACTTTTAAATGATTTACTGGCAGCGTATTAACGAAAATATATACTGACTATGATATACTGACAACATTTTAATATCAGAAACGTAGAATTAATTAAAAGAAATGTTAAATGATCTGAATAGGAAAACTCTCAATATAGATTAAAAATGAAGAGAAACTAAAAAGTTATTTTCATTTGTAATAATCAAAAACAGTCATGAGAATAGCGAATGAAGAATGAGAAGCAATAGGACATTAAAGAAAATTTACTGAAATAAAATGTGTTATTGGTTGGAAATAATTTTATAAAATTGCAATATAATGTCAATATGTATAAAACTCGAAGTGACTAATGAATGTTTAGTTATCATTCCTGGCATTATGCCAGGAATGATACATAGGTGTGAAACATGAAAACTAACAAAATCACTTGAAAACAAACACAAAAAAAAAAAAAATACAATCTAAAACAAAATTTTTTTTTTTTAAATGTAAAGATTAGAATAGAAATGCTTGGGATAACTAAACAGAAAGGTATGAACATTGATCCTGGGAAGATAAGAAATATTGTAGAAGTGATTAAATGACAAAATGATAGAATATATATGTTTGAAACAATGGAATTAATACTATCTGGCGTAGCAATCGAAAAATCATTAACTAACGAAAAATATGCTTCCCACTAGGAAAAGCACCTGCATTTCCTTTTTCCACCAGGTGGAAGCCAATGTGTGTTCTACCAATCAGGCTAGCGGAAACCTTGATAATGTATGTATGTATGTATGTATGTATGTATGTATGTATGTACCCACTAAAAGTAACATTTCTAGTAAGAAATGTCGTCGGATTAAAATAAAAAAAAATGATTTAAAAATTACTTTGTTTACGCTTCAGGTATGAAACAGAATTTAATTGCTAAAGCATACATGAATGGTTCCCCGAGTGGAAAAAGGGAATACAGGTGTGATTCCCCCGTCAATAAGCATATATTTCATTAATAAGAACTTCACGATTTCTAGGGCAGTTCACATTAATTTCAGTAGAAATCAACTGAAACACAAAATTAATAATGTGGGATTTAAAAAATTAATTTTAATCTCATATATATATATATATATATATATATATATATATATATATATATATATATCATGAAGATGAATATCGATTATTCAAAATGTAGCGCCACAAACTTTATTATTTATCGTTTCATTTTCAGCAATATCAGAAAAAAAAATCTAAAATGAAAAAAAGTAATATAAAAATCTTAATCAAGAAAACAGTCTATGGAAACACGTAAATTTAACAAGTATAAGAAATATATGTGTAAGTTTTTCATTTTACCTTTGTAAATACAAAACACTTTTACATTTCAGTAAATAAATTTATAAATTATAAAATAAATAGCATTTTTCTCCAATAACTATTTTATGATCCATGTTTAATTCCTCAGATTTCCCTTTCATGTACCGGTAAGTTATGTTCAAATATAATTAAAATTTAATATGAAATGCTCGCTACATACACTGAAAATAAATGTTGTTTCACGTGACCGTGGAACAAGACACTTTGAAAATGATATCTGATTACTACATGAAAAAGTTAATGTATTCTTGGCGAAGGATTTCTTCATGCATAAAATAAATGCTTCTTGAATTCATTTTGCGTATCAGTTTCATGTGTATTGTGTTCAACTTGCACGCAAAGAACATGATTAATGTTTATTTCCTAATGAGCATAATTTATTATCAAGTATATTAACAATTATGTATATCCTATGCCCTTGTAAACAATATTTGTTTTCAAAAGAAGCTTTGTATTCAGTGTTCTCCCTTGAGAAATATAGATTCTACCTCTGTAATTTCAGCTTGCACACCTTAGATGTAAAATTCATTAAAATTCATAAAAGATTCTAATAATATAATTTTATCCTTAATTAATATTTACGTGAATGAATTATTGTAAAAAAAATCTGTTTTGGAGAGTTATGAACAAACAATTAACAAATATATCCCTGGAGAGATATAGAATTAATTTAAATTTAATTTAAATTTAATTTAAATGTAATTAATTTCGATTTATTGCTAACAAAGGCAATGATATTGACCTGAAATGCAATAATGAAGACTGAAGAAATTTGCATAACTGACATTTTTTTGTCAACAAAAATATAAAAAAAGGTTTATTTTCATACTACAACTGAACAAAATTTAAAACCGAAAAGAAAATAATCCGTTGCTTCAGGGAAGAATAATCACTAAAATTAGATGTCATAAAATTATGGGTGCGTCAGAATTCAGACCGCATTTTACGAGTCTAACGGAATTTTCAAGAGAAAATATACCACGAAAAAACTAATCATAATCCAGATATCTCGATTGTAACGTTATAATTATTTAAAGTAATAAGCGCTTTAAATTTGATTTTTAAAAGATACATTTTATTTTATGAGTTCAAATTTTCTTTGTAAAACAATTTCTCACTTTCGCTAGAGTTAACTCCAGTCTTAGCAAAGTTGTTTAACTTCTGCCTGAAAGAGAAATATTTTTCAAGTCTATGGAAAGTATGATCTGTTTTTAAAAATGTAGGTGAGTATTCATCCCGTTACAATGTCATTCAGTGAGATTCCTTAGTGTCATCTATGATCAACAAGAATGTTGTTGATCACCTCAACCGAAACAACGTCCTGTGCGACAAGTCACAAAGCGTATGGATTTTGCTTCTCTAGGTTCACTGGAGATGTCCTAACTGTTATTATTATTCCTTATACCACACCCAGAAAATATCTGACACTTCATGGCATGCTCTATCTTTATAATAATCAGATCAGATCCAAAACAGAATATTGCTGCCATATCTGGGCTGGAGCTGCTCGATCCTCACTTTCCAGATTTGACAAAGTTTCAAAACGTTTACGTGGCTTTGTCGACGATGAAATACCTTACAGCCTCTTTTTCACGAGTAAAACAACGTAAACTTTCTCTACTTTATCACTATGTCCATGAAAAATGTTCAAACGAGCTACATCCTTAATTCCACTAGTTCAGATCTTGACTCACCATGCCACATATACGAATCATCTTCATTCACTTAGTATTCATTTCCAGGAGGAAGTTCTATTCTGACAACTTCTTCCCAAGAACCGATGCACTGCGGAACAGACACCCGAGTGGTTGCTTTTTAATTACAATTATCATAGCATTTTTAAGTCTAGATTTAACCGCTATCTATATAAAACCTCACTCGGTAGACTTCTACCTTTAGTAGCTTTTGGGCCTTGTATTGGGTAAACAAAAGTTTAAAAAATATAGACAGATATAGTCTACAGTAATGGTGATCGAACTTCCGAACGAATTGATCTGCAACACCAATTTATTTGCTATAGTGGAAATTCCTCTTATTAACACACTTTATTATATTCATGTGTTATATTCCCATTCCTTATTCAATTTTTAAAACGATTTTATTATAGAATTTTAAGAGGAAGGAATTAAATATCATACTTTATGTATTATAACAGATTTTGAACCGCGTAAATTTGGTTTATTAATATAAAGATATTGTGGGACTAAAAGTCTGAATTAGATGCCATGGTTCAAGTTATTTACGAAATAAAATTTAAATTTAACTTTTAAACATTAATTTAATTTTTTATGAATCCACCTTTTAACTTTTTTTTCTTTGTGAAGCAATTTTTATACTTTAAAATTCCCAAGCCTATTTTTAATATTTAAAATATTTTAAAATTATTTATATATATATATATATATATATATATATATATATATATATATATATATATATATTTATATTTTTTCCTCTTTATTTACATTTTTGTATTCGTGATCTTGAGGGTTCATCTGACATTAGAAATTTTGCAGAAATTGACTGTTAATTTAAGCTGTTAAATACGATATAAATAGATTCACGAATAAAATTATTTATATAGTTTTCTAGTCAGAATTTCGTGGAATGTAATTAATTATTGCATTAATTAATACCTTTGTGAGTTTCTTTGTAGCTTCAATTTACTGATGAAACTTAAACTAACTTTCAAAGATTAAGTTTCTTTTATCTAAGACCAAAATTATGTATATATTTATCTAATTAGATAAATAGTTTCATTTCATCTACAGGCTTTTTGTTATTTCTTATTTTACATGAAGTTTAGTGTGCTGTGAATTATTATGTAATGGTTTAAAATAGTCATAAGTTTACTGATTTATACTCTTCAAGGTAAAAATGATATATTGTGCCTACTTACTATTGAATTGTCATGTATTTGTAGAGTTACTTAATAAAACTGATTTTCAATTGCAAAAAAATTACCAGTTGAGACATTTGTTAAGTAAAATGAACATGAAAACCATTTTTAGTTTATTAAAACAGACGCTAACATATTGCAAACACTAAGTATAAACATGGTTTACTTTAATCATATCACCTATCGAAGCATATAATGTCGTTAATCTCTTACATCTATATTTGCCTGTTCTCGTCTAGGAATTTCTGGAATAAGCATTTAGAAATATTGATATATATTTTTTTAAGCATTTTTTGATTTGTCGTTTGCATTTCGCAAATGAACACACATTTCCCGTGCGTCTTCAGGATTTAATATAAACCCGAAATCGTTGTCTTTGTTCTCATTTGAATTATTAACCAAAAGATTCAGAAGAAATACATTATAAAATTTAAATTTCACTGTTCAACACAAAATCGTTCCATGAATTTGGACAAAAGTACGAACAACTATTCTATTTTTTTTAGCCTACAAGACAAGAATCTACGTTGATCAAAATTGTTTGAACTATTTTCTTGCTTCCACTGAACAACTATAAAGTCAAAACTAAACTTTAACATTTCAAATGTATTTTTCATTGCAGTTGCAATAAAACACCATACGATGTTTTCACCCAAACCTTGCAATTTGAATATGAAACAAGAAAGCGATAGGATTTCCACAATCGGAGGAGATTATGCAGCCTATCGGCCTTGGCTCGACAAGAACACATTATCAGGTAAGGAAATCGAGTATTGATTTCTATTTTTGTAAAAGTAGTATCTGTAAAGTGTCTTGATTTCTCAATATTGATTAATCAAAAAACGGATTAGTAAATATTTTTGACGAAAGTTATGAAAAGAAATCATATGACATTTTAAGAGATTAACAATTCTGGTTCATTCTGAAATAAATGGTTTTGTTTTATTTTTATTTATTTATTTTTATTTATTTATTTTTTTTATATTCTCAACATTTGAAGCCATTTTGTTTTCATGCATCTTATTGGATATTTCACTTACCAATTACTTGAAATAACGCACTTAAAAGAACGGAAATATTTTTGTGGAAAAATTAAAAAGAATAAACAAAAGTTAAAATTAATTTATACATTTCTTCATTCACGAAACACGAAATTTGTCATCCATATAAATTTGATTTTCACTTAGATTTTACACGAAGCGGGGTAAAGATTAGCGAGGTGATCCGGTAGGAGTTTAAAAAAACAGAGAGATGGCGTCATACTAGGATCCATCATGAGATCACTAAAAAGAGCATAGCATAATGAAAAAGACGCCAAACTTAACGAAAATAATAAATAATCGTATTAAAAATTCAGTATTTAAGTTAAATACTAGATAGAAACTCAATCCACGTGACGTTTTTTTTTTTTTTTTTATTGCACGCATGATACTTCCGGTCTTCCGTAGATTTGATTTGCAGTCTTACTATTGACACAAATATTTTTTTTATATACTGGCGTTCGTTAGTTTGTAGGAAGCTTTAGAAATTATAATCTGTAAATATATATCTACTTAATAACAACATTCGTTAAATTTTACAAACTTTTCCCTAATTTTAGAAGAATTAACAACATTTAATGTAAAAATAATATAATATTTCAGAAATAACAAATAATTGTTTTAAAAATTCATTTTTCATCGAAATATCTCTTTGCTTTCAGACAATATTGTCCATGTTCATTAAAATAAATAAAAGCAATTAAAAGCTTTTGAAATTAAATAATATTTTTGTTTTATTGAGTTTTGTATGTTACAATTCAGGGATGATTAAAATCCGACAATTATTTTTATTTTTGCACGATTTTCCAAATTAATGTCTGTCATACAAAAAAAAAAAAGTGCTAAAAATTTGTTATTTTACTAGTTCCGGTGATACAAAGAGAAATAAGGTGTTTTTAATAAAAAATTTAGAATGTTCTAAAAAGAAGGAAAAATTTTAAAAAATAATTAAAAAATACTTTGATCTTTCCTCTTAATCATCACATAAACATTTAGACGCTAAAATTTTGTTTTCGTCAAGTTTGGCGTCTTTTTCATTAGGCTGTGCTCCGTTTTTAGCGATCTCATGAAGGGTCCTACGTAATTCTAATTACGCGTCAATTATGCCTGACTCTCGTTCAGATAAAAATGAATAATGAAGATTTTCGTGTGTTTGAGGACAAAAATGATTTTAAAAAAAAAGGATGCAAAGATATAGCGATTCATTATTAAAGAACACAAACGATGTCTCTCAGGGATAAATCGCTCTATGGAAATTCAACAAAACATATTTTCTATATTACCAACAAATGTACAATGTCAGTAAAAAAAAAGTCATTTTAGATTAATATATAGAAATATCTTATAAAAAAGAGTAAAAATCTTTTTCTTTCTGTAATGTATTAACAAATTAGTGATATTTACTAAGCTTAGTTTCGTATAATAAAAGGCGCCACAAGTGAAAAAAAACTAGCTTGCTCCTCCACAAAGAGGAAATTTAGACTGCCACAAGGTCACAGTAATGATGATCGAACATCCGAACGAATTGATCTGCAACACTAATTTATTTGCTATGGTGGACACCGAAATTCCTCTTATTAATACACTTTATTATATTCATATTATATTCTCATTCTTTATTACATTTTTAAAGCGATTTTATTATAGAATTTTTACAGGAAGGAATTAAATATCATACTTTATGTGTTATAAGAGATTTTGAACCATATAAATTTGGTTTATTAATATAAAGACCTTCTGGAAAACATTATTGGAATTCATCGAAGCCTGCCATTACGCCAATTGGCAAGCAGATCTGCATGTATAATTAAGTGTCTATATCGGGATGCTATGGTCCGAGTTATCTACGAAATCGTATGCTGCTATTGTGTAAAAATAGCTGGTGGTTAAATAATTTTGAATAGGTAGAAGCGATTTATCGAATAAAAGTATTAATCAAAGTTAGTTCTCTCATTATGATTTGTAGTCATCTATCTTTTTGTCCTTCAAATTGTTCAGATTCATCTGTAAAAATAGGACAATGAATTGGCCAATACAATTAAAAGAAACTATCAATTATAACCGTAAAGACAATCCTGGAATCAAATTATCTTTTTAGTTTCTCTAGCTATTATTATAGAGATGATAATGTTTCAATGTTTTATTTTAATTATATAAAACTAGTTGTGTAATTGTCATTTCGCTGTCAGCAAGACAATCAAATTTCAAATTTAAATTGTTTGTCCATTTAAAATACAACATTTATTAGTAACTCTAATACAGACATTATAAAAACAGCTTCGAATAGACGCATATTTTGACTATACTCATTTTCTGTTAGCTTGGCTGTGGCCAGACAAAAGGGAAAATGGCCCTCACGACACAAATGTTCATTTCAGTTTCATTCGAATTGTATGTATGTACGTTTACGTGTGCACATGTGTATTTTAATTTAATGACAGACATAAAATATTTTTACGAAATTACATTTTTTTAATTATTACTGAATAATTTCCGAAAATTTCGATATAATGTTATCTGAATTTTAGGGTTTCCTCATATTTTATTGCTCAACTCAGGGCAGGTGTCATTCAGATTGAGTGAGAGGGGAATGTGTTATTTCAAATTTTGTCAAATTGTTTGCGCGTGTGTGAATGTGTATGCACAGGTGCTTTTGTGCACATTGAATAGCACAAACACGTATAAGTCACTCATGAACAACACGTTTATATAAATATATATATATATATATATATATATATATATATATATATATATATAGAGAGAGAGAGAGAGAGAGAGAGATAGATAGATAGATAGATAGATAGATATAGATATAGATATTGTACGCGTAAAGTACAGAAACAAAAAATCAGCTCTTTGACAATATATATTGCTTTTTGTTTAAGATATTTTTGTTTAAGATATTTTTGTCTAATATAGGAAAGCATCCTTGGTCTTAAGATAGCGAAAATAAAATATTTTTAATATAGTTAATATTTTATTGTCCGCCTACAATTATTAATAAATATTATATGGCAGAAACATTTATATATATATATATATATATATATATATATATATATATATATATATATATATATATATATATATATATATATATATATTTTTCATTTATTTATTTTATTTTAAATACACATGAAAGTTTTTTTAAACTTATCAAAGTTAGGGTGTAGAGCACAATTTGGCATTAAATATTTATTTATCCCCCTGTACTAATACAGCCAAGGTCAAAAAGGAAAATACATTAAACTATTTAGTTATAATTTATTTAAAAATTTAGAATATTCTTAATTTCAAAAAGACAATATTAGTAGTACACAATTATCAATGACGTGGGCACACTTTTAAATTTGACATTTTACATAAAAACAGGATAACCAAATCTCAAGAAAAATCAAGGATCGATTTGACATTATAACATAACCCTTCTAAAATGATAAACACTAAATATTTTTAGAATCTGACAAACGTCATTCTTAGAGGAAGGTCTAATGAACATTAATCAACAAAAATAAAATATCCCCTACATAGACACATGTAATTACAAAAACTCTCATTCTCATTTGCGCATAACTGCTTTCCCTTGACATATGGTTATCTAAATTCGTTTGCATGTCGATTGCCATGTATCCCCTACATAGACACATGTAATTACAAAAACTCTCATGCACATTTACATATAATTGCTTTTCTTGACATATGGTTATCTATGTCTGTTTGCATGTCAATTACCATGTATCCCCTACATAGACACATGTAATTACAAAAACTCTCATGCACATTTACATATAATTGCTTTTCTTGACATATGGTTATCTATGTCTGTTTGCATGTCAATTACCATGTATCCCCTACATAGACACATGTAATAACAAAAACTCTCATGCACATTTACATATAATTGCTTTTCCTTGACATATGGTTATCTATGTCTGTTTGCATGTCAATTACCATGTATCCCCTACATAGACACATGTAATTACAAAAACTCTCATGCACATTTACATATAATTGCTTTTCCTTGACATATGGTTATCTATGTCTGTTTGCATGTCAATTACCATGTATCCCCTACATAGACACATGTAATTACAAAAACTCTCATGCACATTTACATATAATTGCTTTTCCTTGACATATGGTTATCTATGTCCGTTTGCATGTCGATTGCCATGTATCCCCTGCATAGACGCATCTAATAACACCCTATACCTTTCTGTTGCTGAACTATTCATAAAAGAACGAAAAATGAGAAATGCTCAAGGTTTAAAAAAAAACAGTTTTGAATTTCGAGCATGATAATTGCCCCATTTTTATGTATGACAAAAAAGCATAATATCGATAAAAAAAAAAAAGCTGTTATCAGCCAAATATAAAATATTAGCAGAACCTATTTAACAGGAAACTTCACATTGAAAAGACTCACGAAATAATTCTATTTGAAACGGTTTGCATCGCCATGACTAAAATTTTAAGAATTAGTTTTATTTGTATATATGATATATGAAAATGAAACTACTTCTTAAAATCCGAGCTGTTCGAGAAAAAATTGTGATTGTATAAGAAAAATAACTACAGAATAAATCTACTCTTCAATTTTTTGATGCTGTAGATAAGTTTAACATTTATTTTGTCATTGATTATAGTCGACAATTTCTTATTACCTTCTATTAAAGCGACATTTTATAAAACAATTTCCCCTGACGTATTTAAAAAATACATTTTTACTCATTTCCTTATTACTTAAGCAGTGATTTGGCTGATAGTTATCTATTGTTTTATGTTGCATTCTAGACCTAAGGTCTTGAATGCAACATAAAAGTTGAAAAGTAGATTTATTCTGTAGTTATTTTAAGGTCATTTAAAACCTAATCTGTTAAGCTTTCAATGTAAAATAAATCCATTTTTTGCTTCTTCTTCGTTACAAAACTGAAATCGCACATGAAAATATTCATCGCTTTAATCTAATAAATAACAAATTCTTTCTCATGAATTTTGAAAAGGAATTGCAAAATAACTCAAATGAAGATCAAAAGAAACATTTTTTAAAATATTGAATTTTTATTGTTTACTTACAAGAAAATACACCTTTCGTTCTCTTTTAATAAAAATAAGCTTTAAAAATCATAGATATTTACTTTATGTTTTAAATTTCAGGAACCCTCTATGTGCCAGGCAAATACCCATCGACTGTCTCTTGCCGATTTTCCTCGCTTGCTAATATTTCAAACACCAGCGATTCGGTTGCAAATGATGATATTGTTCCTACTTCCCTTCCACCAACGCCACCACCAGCTCTTGACACTACGTTGTCGATCCTAGATAATTTCTACTTTGCACAGAAAAGTGTCTATGGTAGTCACAATCTTCGATTGCATAATCAGATGACCAATAACCATCATCATTATCATTATCCATCAAAGGCGGCATCTCATCCTCAGTGTACATTCCAGCTTCATCAGCAAAAATACTCTCATACAAATAGGCAAAATTATTCTTGTCAACAGAATCGAATTGTTCCAAAATTTTATTCAGGCTCGTCTTGCTTAGACGGAAATAAAGGTCTTTGTTTGGCAAACTCGATAACGACTTCGTCTCCATCATCGTCATCATCATCGTCATCACTGTCATCTCCAAAAAACACGTCATTAACTTTGAGAGTATCATCATCGAATTTGCAAAATTTTAATTTAACCTCCTCATCAACAACATCATCGCTATCGTCTCTTCCTTCGTTGCCAAATACAGCAAAAGAAAATGACGTCAGTTGCAACAAATTTTACAACGCTAGTAAAATCGAATTAAACAATGATGACAATAATATAAATGATAAGACAGAAAGCACTAGCAGCTCTTCTAAAAACAACAATCGAAACGCTAATAGTTTTATGGCACTGGCAGATTCAACATCAACAACATTCGAATGCGCCAGTTGTCGTAAATTGTTTGCTACGCCACATGGGCTTGAAGTCCACGTAAGACGTGCACATAGTGGTTCGCGGCCATACGCCTGCGACGTTTGCCAAAAGACATTTGGTCATGCCGTCAGTTTGCATCATCACCGTTCAGTACACACACAAGAACGCACGTTCGAATGTCAACAATGTGGCAAATCATTCAAGCGGTCATCTACTCTATCTACGCATTTGCTTATACACAGTGATACTCGACCCTATCCGTGCCCCTACTGCGGAAAAAGGTTCCATCAAAAATCAGATATGAAAAAGCATACTTACATACATACGGGTAAGTAGAGCATAAAAATAAATAGATTTCTCGATGTACTATATGATTATCATTTTTTCATTATTACTGAAAAATACGAGAGTCGCAGTAAATCAATTGGATTTGCTTTCTATGTCATTAATATTAATATTAAGCAGTGATATATTATGAATAGTGACTGAATGAAACTTAATTCATTAATCAAGTTTTATTTTAACATTACGCGCAAATGCTTAAATGGCAACATTTTCTTTATTTCTACCTGATAATTATACCACCAATAAAACAATTCATAGATATAATGAATCACCATCATCATCATCATCATCATCATCATCATCATTGTCGCCAGTTCTAAGACTATGTATGTTCGTAGGGTCGCTGCAAAACTGAACACCTACCTCCTTCCGCTCGTCTCGGTTGTGTACCAGTGTCTGCGTCTGTGAATGATCTTACAGTCCGCACAGTGACGTTGTCAGCCCATTTCATTCGTCTGCTTCTTCTTTTGCTTAAAGTGGTATTTTGTGGGATATAATGAAATGTTTTTAAAATAATTTCAAGGGTGTTCACTTTAAGTCTTTGCTTTAACTGTTGAACACTGAAACCTAACTGAAAATAGAATAAAGTATGTTTTTTAATTGCCCTTAAATAATCATCTCAGAAAAATGTATTTTCTGTCTCTACATGAAAAGACTCATATCAAAAGAAGTTAACGAATTTATTTAGTAAATTGTTAATCTTTAAACCGTCGAACTTCAAAGAATATTTCGGAAACATGGTTTTCAGTTAAATTTGCTTTGTTCTTATATATTCTGCTAGCCTGATTTTCTCTGTCATTATAGTTTGTAAGAATAACAGGCACGGCATTGAAAAACGAAATCGACAAAACTATCTCAAATCATTGGTACTAATGGTCACACTGAGCCCAGTCATTAATTTAAATATAACTACGGGCACCAAATATGAGAAAGTAGGACTTCTTAAGCACACATGTTTTCTTCATTGTAAATAAGCCCATGGGCATGTATCAATTCTCACAGTGGATTGAATTTGTTCAATAAAATAGATAACTTTTTAAAAAAAAATATATATATACACCATCAACTCATGCTTTTATTTCTACTATAAGTGTTTTGTAGACGAACGATGATGTTCGCTACCTACAGTCGTAATATTCGATTTCATTTATTTACAAAGTTTTGTGTTTGAATAGATTTTATGAATATCAAAAATTATATAGTCAATATCTTTAAAGTAGACAAATAAATAGTAATGAATAGTGTATTCTTAAACTGTTACACTAAGAATAAATAATGAATATATATAACTAAATTATTATATATAACTTAAATTATCAAAGTTTTTCCCATCTATTTCAGGTGAAAAACCTCATCGATGTCTACAGTGTGGAAAAGCTTTTAGCCAGTCATCCAACTTGATCACCCACAGCCGAAAGCACACAGGCTTTAAACCTTTCGCTTGTGACCAGTGTGGCAGAGCCTTTCAGCGTAAGGTTGACCTGCGAAGACACACTGAGACTCAGCATATTAGTTCAGACCCAAACAAACGCTCATTGTTACGCGTTGTTGCAATATCCTAGCAAATCTAACAACCGAAAAATCATAAAAAATAACATCCTTTGTTTTTAGTTGAAATTTTTAGACAAGGAATTATTATTATATACTTTGCTATACAGACCAGTATGTCCACCTCCGTTGTTGTACAATCTACCTTAGGGATTGGATAAGAGGTTTAGATTGAAATCTCAAGAAAGTTACGAAAGGCCAAAGGGTACAACGACCGAAACATTGTGAGTATAACAACCAAGATGAGCATGCTGATCTGAATAGCAAAAGATATAATAATCTTTTACTTTGTTTTGACTTCTCAAACAACTGATAGTTCCTTATTGGTTTTCCCATAAATGTGGATGTGAGGTAGATCTCGCTTTTCTGATAAATATTCCTTAAAAAATATAACAAACGATATAATTGTAATGCACCAATATTGATGTAGATAAAATTGTCAAAAGAATACATTACCAAGAAACTTTTCTTTCTGCTATTTTTTGTTATAAAAGTATATTTCATCTAATCAAATATTCTAGAATTTGTATGAAAGTTAAACAAATAATTACCAGGTAAATTTAAAAGCCTAACCATTTGTGGTGAGATAAACTTTGTCTTGGTTTGAAGTACCTTGGTAATCATCTCTACTTATTTGAGGTAGACTTTACATTTTCTGTGATATGAGTTCGCCATCCAACGTCACTGAGCAGTTTGAAGACTGCCAAGCCGAATCATAAAAAATGAATGAAAGGACAAATACTCTGTCGAAAATGTTTAATGCTTTCATTGACTTCATCAGCGTCCATTTTTTTGTATATTAATGCCTGACTTGTAAATCTGCTCAAGGCATTCTACTGAGTTCACTAATGAAATAGAGAAAATGAACGAAAATTATCAAATATTTCTACAAGAAATCACAAAATATTTTCCATACAATATTGTTAATGCTTTTTGTAAATGTGCATTCTTTTATTAGTGGTATATTTATGTGTTTTCAATTATTGTTAACTTTACATATATCTCTCAATAAACTTCAATCATATTTCCTGTTCCAAAATTTGTTCCCACCTCAAGCCGTAAAAACTACTTTAAGTTTTGTAAAATCTATTACTAACAAAATGTGTTCATAAAACTGTTACTATATTTTTGGAAAATGTAATGTAAACAATTGTGAAATGTAAGTGATAATATAAAATACAAACTTGGATTATCTAAATGTATTTTTGTATTTAATTATTTATATTTTTTTAGTTCAGATAGCATTGAATGAAACATATATATAAAATATATGAAATATATATATATAAAATCTTATATTTTCCCAATGCATTTATTCGCACATTTTTTAAATTGCTATATGTAATCCTCACGCTCCTTTATAAGCATGTGATTTCATACTTTTCGATTTTTTGATATTGTATATTTCACTTTTCTTTTTGTTTTCTTTTTTTCTTTCTTTCGGGAAGCCATGAAACTGAACTGTTGTATCATTTTGCGAGTAATTGCAGCACCATAACTAGAAGATAATTATTTCGCTGTTTATATTCGAATTACTCGAAGAATAAGAGCCAAGATTGTTTATCTCACTCTGTACAAAATTAATCACGTCGCTCATCTCCAAAATTTTCACATTAATAGACGTTGCTGTATAGGAAGAAATTAATATTCGAAACCATACAGTTCTCAATACACACACACAGACACACATAAATATATATATATATATATATATATATATATATATATATATATATATATATATATATATACTAAAGATTATATATATATATATATATATATAATATATGAAATAATATAAACTTTTCTCTATTGTGACTAATAAAGTTAACGTTCTTTAATAGTATCCATATGTGCGTCCACTCAATCAAAATATGACACAACGATAGATTTAAAGCAGGAATGTGTATATTTCTATATTCGAATGAATATGCAGTTTGATGGGTTTCGATTTCTATATTAATTCTGTATTGATTTCATTAAAAGAAAAACCTTTCCGAAATTTAATACTAGATTACATATGAACAAAAACGTTAAACACGTTTGCTTGTGCTCATTTGATATTTGTATCAACCGATTCTCTTATATAAATGTTAGCATATATTAAACATTAGTCTGAAATTGTTTGAAAAGTAAGAATGTAAAAATCAGTGAATCATTTTATTTCCATTTAATTCGCGTATTTAACAACTATTTAACAACTTTTTTCTTCAATTTCTTTTTCGAAAAAAAATATTTTTCTATTTTTTTATTTATTAATAATAAGTATTAGTAAGAGGTCGGCTGAAAAATAAACGTGAATATGAAATATTTAAAGTGCTTCATGCACGACAAGGTTTTACACTATTAAATTCAACAAAATAGAATAAGAGGCAATAATATCCGTTAATTTTCTTATTATAAATTTCAATAATTTTGCAAAACAGATTAAAGAAATAAAATCACCATAACTAATATGTAATTATCAATTTAAGAAGTATCTCTGGTCAGATTTTAGACTTTCTCCTTTTTTGTCTTAATAATATAATTTACGATATCACTTTGCAATTGATAAAACCATTAATATATTATGTTATAATATATATTTAGTCTTATGTTGAATGATAATTTGGGTGACCAAGAGATAAAGCAAAGGCATAGTTAGGGATACAACAGTTATGAGATTTCCTTTGCGGAATTGAGCAGAAGCAGCAGCATAACTCCTCTTACATCGATTGCTATTCGATTGTTATTCGATTTTCCGGTGGATGTTACTCACTTTCCTGTGCACAAACCAAACATTTCAAATATACTAAATGTCATCAATTTGTGGAGTGAGTTCAGAATTGACATTTTGGATAGGAATTCATTTCGGGATGAAAGCATGTAGAATAAAAAAAAGATGGAAATAGAAAGAAAAGTAAGAAAAATAGACGGTTAAAGATAGAAAAAACTGACTCTCTTTTTTAGTCATTAACGTCACCAATCTGTTAGCAAAATTACTTTGAAGATCCCGTCCTCTATTTAAACCATTTTGTATGATGAATTATCATTAGCATGTGGGTTATACATAAAAATGATACTATAAAAAAAGAAAAAATGCTTTCAAAAATATGGTTCTGAGAATGAAGTTAATATAAACTTTTTCTCTAACTTTTCTATTAATATTAAAACTTCTGAAGTAGACTAGTAACTCGACAGATTCTTGACAAACTTGATCCAATTTCTTTTTTAATGATTCATTTATTTGTAATTTTTAAAAAAGTTTTCCATAGGATTATATATAATCGTCTATCACCCGGTCACATTGCTTCCCCGTCTTTTGAACAGGAGTATAGGTTTATCCCTTTTTTTCTGTTTAGGATGGGGTTTGCGTTTACCTCCCCTGATGCCTTAATAAAAGTGGCTGTCATAACTTTTTGGCGATATGACTGGCTGGAGGTTACGGCTCTTCATTTTGAGGCTACCGGGTTGGCAGTTTTTTTTGATTGCTGAATCCCGACTGGTACCAAGGAGTCCGAACGTTTTGGTAGCGCTTAGAGAGGCTGTTTGCTTAACAGTCGCATAATATCGGGGTACTTGCAGTGCCATGTCGCGCATAGATAGGTGTCCCAGCAAGCACGTCCGGTTGTCAATCTCGAGGCTACACTATGTTGTAGTCTTCGCCACCTTCCGGCGCCGGTTTGTATTGCCTTAGACGGTCGACACAACTTTTATTCTTGGCCTCTTTCACCTTAAAAGCTTTTCTTATTACTACTACTGTTAAAGAAAATAAAACTAAACCAGTTTGCAAAAACCATCTAAGCCCACAGCCTTTCTTTTCTCAACATTCATGTCATCCGTACCGATTTCTGCAATGTATAATTGTATCTCTTGTAATGTGAAACTAAGAAACTAACCCAAACTCTTCAATCTTTACCACTGAATTCTATGTCCTTGCTTATCGAAAGCATTCTAATGTCCATATGAATGGACGCAGTGGGTATGTTCATGAAAATCTCCCATTGGAACTCATTTCACGATTTTCTTCACAACGACGCATGGAATAAAATTTGTAATCTTCTCGTTGAAAATTGTGCCAATTTATAAATCTACCATTCGTCCGTGCATTGAATGTTGCTGCTAATATCCGGCTATATATCTCGAGATTCTCGAAAATATCCAAAGAAATGTCTGTAATGTATTAAGTCTTGACCTGGTATCTCGACTTCGATCAATTTCTCACGGATGTGATGGATTTCTACTGTCTTTTCTATAAATATTTTCATAACATAACTCACCTCATTGGTACTTTGATCGCATGAATTTAACCGTACTACTAGTTTGGTAGTTAGGTTTCACCGTTTTACTGACGAACTAGCTAAATATTACCGTAAGTTCAATTCTAATACTTTCTTTTCTCGCACTTCTTGCCTGTGGAAACTCTCTTCCGATTTATTGTTTCCCTGTTTTCCACTTAAAATCTTCAAAAGTTTAAATGCAATGTCAATCGCCATCTTCTGTCTTCCTGAAATTTGTTTTTTTTATTGTTCTTTCTCCTCACTAAAATATTCTCATTCTCGTCTACTTATGACATTATCATCTTGCCTGAGAGGAAATGATAAAAAATAGTGACTACTTATACGCAAAATGGAAAATTGTAATAAAAGATTATGCAAACAAATAATGCCAATCGATTTTAACAAAACCTATTTGAACACACACACACACACACACACACAAACAAACAAACAAACAAACAATGGCTGGCCGATTGTATACGGGTATGCATGTCTACTCGGGAGACTAGCCGATCCCTTTCACAGACACCTGCTCAGACGCATTTGTGTTTGTTCAACACCCATAGAGCCCACCTGTGGTTTATACTGCAACTATCCTGAGCAGACCTTAGTTACAGTTTCTGGGAGAGATCTGGCGTGATCAACAGTCTGAAGATGGTCAGTACGTTCAAACCCTCAGTCACGATGACTTCTGACTTTGTGCTAGTACAACCATCGACGGTAGTTCCGTCTACCCAATTTAATTCACAAGCCCT